TGATACTGATGCTGCTGCTGATGATCATGATGGTAATGATGTTGATGATGCTGCTGCTGCTGATGATGATGATGATGCTGATGATGATGATGATGATGATGATGATGATGATGATGATGATGATGGTGATCCGTAAGGGCTTCACCCCCTGCCGCTGCCCACCCCCTCTATCAAAATGGGATATGTCAGAGTCGCGTCGGTGCGTCTCGGCGCTGCCTTGGCACATCTGGGAACATCATGCGGGGGCGGATAGGAATCATCAGTGCATATTGAGACGTTGGCGTAATCGAAGACGCCTGCGGCGAATCACCCTCCGCCCCCTTCTGCGGACTCGGCTATGTGGCCGAAAGTTGGGCTAGAGCTTGGCCGAGCTATCGGACCACGTGTTCCTCGAGTCAGTATGGAAACCCTTCGGGGAACACTTGGGGGAGGAAGAGGAAGAGCAGGAGAGGACGAGGCGGCCCTCGAGGCCGCCAAGACCCGCCAACGATGCCCTCCAGACGGCCCAAGCAGCTGAAGGTGGCCCCAGGAGAGCCCCCCGAGCGTTTCAAGACGCCCTGACATGTCTTCCCGACGGCCCCCGCATGCCGACGAGAGCCCTGGAGGTCCCCGAGAAGCCTTTAGAGAGGACACAACCCGTTAAGAGTTGACAGAAAACTTTCAGAGGCCCCGAGATGCCCTACGGGATCCTGAAGACGCCTCGCAGAGGCCCCCTAAGAGGCCCCAAGGTCCCCCAAGAGGCCTCCACGGGGCCGCCCAATTTAGGCCCGAAGCGACCCGCACGGCGCCCTCAAGGCGCCCCCGGGCGGATCCCGGAAGACGGCCAGGGAGCCCATGTGGCCCGCAGAGGTCGCGAATCCGTTTCTTGCTGCAGCCCAGGGCTGGACCTAAACGGTGTTTTTGGTGATCTCGTGGGCCGTTTTCGTTTCGACCTCGTTTTGCGGTAGAGGCGGATTCGAGACAACAGCGAGGGAGAACGAAACCAAGACGAAGACGAAAAACACCGCTTAGGTCCAGCCCTGCTCCAGCCGTTCTGGATCAAGCCGTGTCGACTCATCTCGGTTCCGTGGAGGTTCGAACAACCAGAACGGGCCAGAAACACGTGAGCGTACGGGGACGCCGCAGGGCGGCGGGCCATGTCGTCTGGAGGTCAAGCGCAGGCGTGCCGCCGCCGCCACGACGCGCTTGGTGTGCCACAGCGGGAGCCGATGGGGGTGGAGCCTGTCCCGCGCGAGGACGAGGTCCCGTGGCCCACGCGGCTCGTCCGCATTGCAGGCTCGGTGGCGGACGACAACTCGGAGGAGCGGGAGCGCTGGCCGATCACGCGCACGCAGCGCCGCCGCCTGCAGCGCAAGTGCCAGAAGTCCGCCGCGGAGCAGATCGCTCTCCAGCAGTGGCGGGCCTCGGCGGAGGCTGGGCAGGCTTCCCCTCCGCTGCTTACGCTGCTGGCGCTGCATGCCCACGCGGCCTCGGGGTACGCCTGGCCCACGGTCTGCAGCTTCTCGCTGTGATGGCAGCGGGGCCGAGCGTGCGCCAGTTCGGCAGGTTCGCCAGTGCCCTGCCGGGAGCGGGCGGGCGGGGCCCCGCTGGCAGCTCTCTGACAGCCTCCAGTTCCCGCGGCATGTGCCTCCCGTCTCCTCAGCCGTGGAGTATAGGCGGACAGAGGTTTTAGATCAGGTAGCTCACGCTGCCGCTCGCATTTTTCCTATTCGACGATGACATTTTGAGTGCTGCTCCGCATCGCTTTTTCTTGGTCCTCCTCGTCATGTCCTATCTGCTCTCCCTCCTCCCTACAGTAGGTTCCCGTCCTGTCGACCAGCGGCGGCCCCGCCGCCGGCGTTCAGCGTCGAACGTCTCCGGCGATCCCGAAGCAGTCGGTGCTAAATGCTCTTTCGTTTCGGAAGTGGCCGATCGTACAGGGCTGACAGATCCCCGCGGGAGGAGGAGGAGGAGGAGGAGGAGGAGGAGGAGGAGGAGGAGGAGGAAGAGCAGGAGAGGAGGAGGAGGAGGAGGAGAGGATACAACGCTGGGATCGGCACGGCGTGAGCCCGCGGTGCCTCCCCGGGGAAGCTGCAGACACAGGAAGCCGACCGAGGAGGAGGAGGAGGAGGAGGAGGAGGAGGAGGAGGAGGAGGAGGAGGAGGAGGAGGAGCCAACGCTGGGATCGGCACGGCGTGAGCCCGCGGTGCCTCCCCGGGGAAGCTGCAGACACAGGAAGCCGACCGTGGGGGTGACGAGTTTCCAACTATTTTTGTTGTTTGTCGCAGGCCTAGATGTTGAAACCAACACCAAGATCGGCGGCGTTCCTCCACCGAGGGAAGAAAATCCCGATCTCGGTGATGGTGGTCATATTCTGGCTTCCAAGGTGGCCGAAATATTACCACCAGCACCGAATTCTAGGACCGTCTCCACCCTGTGGAGGCAGCCCCGTGTCTTGGTGTTGGTGCCCATTTCCAGGCCTCCAACGTTGAGTATCTCGGAGCATCGCCTGACTGTTTTTTTATACTTGTCCTCGGGGCATGTGCCCGACCTCACGCCAGGGGCCAGGGACGGTCAGCGCGAGGGGCAGTTCTGCTCGCCCTCGGGGTGCTGGGCTCTCGACGTCGGCGGCGCGCACCAGGAGGGTGGCGCGGGGAGGGGCGGCCTCCCGAGAGCAGGCCTCTCGGGAGGCTTCCTGGACGCCGGGAGGGCCTCTGCGAAGGGCCCCGCCTGCTCGGAAATTCGCCCGCCCTCCGAGAGGGCCGCCCCCCTCGGGCGTAGTTCTTTACAGCTTGAGGCTTAGTGGGCATCATAGCCCCCTCCACAATTACTCAATATGAATACTACTCTCCCTCTTCCCCTGATGGCGTGCTGGGAGTGGCCGACCCCCCCCCCCGCGTACTGTTTTTTTACACAGGATTCCCGGGAGTTGGGTTTTCGCCTGCGTTTTTTTTCAAAATGCTGCTCTCGCTGAGGCGCCGGCTTCATTTCTGCTCCCGAATCGTTCCGAATCGTGCTCCCGCTGCAGCGTGGGCCTCATTTTCGGATCGGTGTTTGGCCTCCGTCGTTCAGGATGGCGTTCTCGCCCCAGCGCGGGCCTCTTCTCGCGCGCCCATCCGCCCGCCACCACCGCGCCGCACCACCACCACCACCACGCACCACCACCAGCCACCCACCCACCAGCACCAGCACCAGCACCAGCACCAGCACCAGCACCAGCACCAGCACCAGCACCAGCACCAGCACCAGCACCAGCACCAGCACCAGCACCAGAACCAGCACCAGCACCACACCAGCATCACCCACCCCCACCAACCCACCCACCCACCCACCGCACCACCAGCACCCACCCACCACCACCACCCACCCACCCACCACCACCCACCACCACCACCACCACCACCACCACCACCACCACCACCACCACCGCCGCCACCACCACCACCACGACGCACACACGCACGCACGCACGCACGCGCACCACCACCCACTACGCACGCGCGCGCGGAGCCACAGGTCCGCTACGACACGCGTCCGCCAGCGCCATGGTAAGGGATGGGAGGGAGGGGTAGGACGTCAGATATGACGCGAGCGCACCTAGCTTGCCCCCCCCTCCCCACCCTCCTAGAACGTACCGCCCCTCCCCCCCCAGTGCGCTCTGGGCACTGCCGCCGTGCGCGCAGCGGGGCGGAGGCGTTACATTATACCCCCCCCAGCCCCCTCCCTCCCCTCTAATGCCCAGTGTCGCCGAACATAAAGAAATGCGCTCCTCGCGCTCACCCCTTGTGCGCGCCGCCAACCAGGATCTAGGAGCGCCTGTCCACGCCAGAGCTCAAGCCTGGTCGGCTCCCAAGCTCAGCGCATCAGCGCATCGCGTCACCTTCATGAACACCTGGTAAGTTGTTGAATTTCAGGAAGAGAACAGAGGGGAGGGCACAGGAAGCTGCAGTTGCAGCGCTGTCCCTCCGCAGCCTTCTGCGTTGTGGCCGCGCTGAGACTAGGAGAAGTCGGAGGCTGGTGTCAGTGGTGGTGGTGCTGCTGC